TTTGGTACTCAGAATCAAACTCAGGACCTTGAGCTTATGAGGCAAGTGGCAGAACCACTGAGCTAAATCCCCAGTGCTGATTGGCAGCAATCTTCAACGGATTTGTTTGATGCTACAACAGTCATTTTCACAAAAGTCATGATTTGTTTTTTATCCACTTTCACACAGTGTTGTTCAGGGATTTCTCCTGGTTGATTTTTTTTTTTTAATTAGGAGGAGACTAACATTTTCTTTGGTGATCCCTCTGGGCTGATTATGTGTCTCTTTGGGTATGTGAGAGAAGTCTGTGGCATGCTTGGGACAGTTCTCATGAAAGATGATGGTTTGGTTGGAAGGCATTTTTTCATTGACACAACCCATGGTCACATATTGTGCCCCTCAGTTGTGGGCCTCACGGAAGCAGGGCAGAACACTAGAGCCAGTGTGAATGATGATGTCAAGGGCAACTGAAAGACTCAACCTCAGAGTTGCTGTGTTTTGATGTATTTAGGTTCTCATTAGGTTACTGCTCTTGTGTAAGAAATGGTCACAACTTACCAGCTAGGGGAGAGCAAGCATTTACTCTCTGTTTCCAGTGCTCATGATTGTGGGGATGGCTTAGCCAGATCTTCTGCTCAGGATCTCAGAAGGCTGCGATCAAGATGTCAGCCAGGCTGCATTCTCATCTGGAGGCTCAACTGGGGAATACCATGTCCACACACATTCAGGTTTCGGCAGGGTTTGTTTCCTGGAGATGTGACTGAGGGCCTAAATTCATAAGTTACTGGCTGTTTACTGGAAACTGCCCACAGTTCTTTCTCTAAACAGGGCCCGTGGGACTGCTTGCTTCTTCATGACTGGTGGGATAGGGTTCCCACTGGAGCATGCTAGGATTGTCTTAAATAATTATGCAGTCCTGGGAGTCAAATCCTTGCACCTTCCCCATATTCTACAGGTTAGAGTCAAATCTCAATGTCCACTACCACTGCACAGCAGAGCCTTACTTTGAGGGTGTATATCATTAGAGGTCATATCAAGGCAGGTAGAGAATATTGTTTGTTTTTAGAACAAATAGTGAAGTGGTGGGTTTCTGTTTCTTAAATCATAAGGCATCTTAATTGTTAGAGACTGACTTTCTAACATTCATTTACCTTGAAAATATGGCCTGTTGCACATATAGGGTAGAATTACTCCTTTTCATAACTTTTTTTCAAGGGTGGCTATGATTGCATCTTGGGAAACTCCATACTAAAATAGTTACATTCCATTCTTGGAAGAATACATGAGTGTGTTGGTAAGCTATCATATGTATAGAAGGATAGAATGTTTTTTTTGGAACATAGTATCTCCACAAGGAATATGATCATTATGTACTACAAACATATACCAATAAAAGTGAAAATGAAAATTACTGCTTAATAAGACATTTTGTAGTATAAACTGTCAGTGGTACTTTTAAAAATTATATAATCTGCCCTGTGTATCTGAGGATTCTACATCTATGGATTTCAACTCAAATTCAATTTTTCCTACTCATAGTACAGATCACTTTTGACACTAGATTTGTAGAATTTTTCCCCATATACCAAGTGAATAATAAATTTGTAGCTGATAGTATTACAGGAAGCTAAATTAGACAGAAATCAATATACAGAGAGGGGCTGGGTCCTTAAGGAAGTCAGCAAATAAAGATGCCAAAATTGTGGCTGGAAGGGAATCTGAAGAAGGCCAGGCTTAAATAGGAATTTAGAATTATTATACTGTAATTAGCACTACGTAGTCCAGAAAGTCCAGCTAGACATCAATTGTCCATGTGGGTGACCAGAGCTCTGGACCCATCTCTTCCCCAAAATGTCTTTGTTCTTTCCATGTACCCTTGCTATGTGACTCCTTTCCCTATTGGATCAACATTAGCTAAGCGGCTATACTTAGAATCCCATAGGTTGATTGTAATTTGACCCACCTTGTACTCACAGTTATTTTGCTGTACAAATTACCCCTGACAAAGGGTCTCAGTGGCCACCCTGTTTCAGACCCCCTCCTAGAAATTCAGGAGATATTCTTTAAAAAAAAACTTTTTTTTTTTT